TGTGTCATAGAGCACGTCAGGAGAGAGGACTGGAGTCCGACCACTGAATCAGAGGCAATGAGTTTACCTGAAGACTGGAGTCCAGTGATGGGCCCGGAGGAAGTGATGGTGACGGACATCACCATCAACTCACTGACTGTGACTTTCAGAGAGGCTTTGGTTGCGAGAGGCTTCTTCAGCAGCTGGGAGATGGAGATCTGAACGCACAGAGACTTGAGGATGCGGAGAGCAAGATGACAAGACTTTTGGTACATCCTATTTTTTGTATTGTTAATTATGTCGCTCGCACAACTGCCATGTTCAGTGTTCCAGACTACATTTTTTTGCACTATTAGTACTAATCAATGTAAACCTTCCTAAATAGGATTGTGATTGAAGTCAGTCACAGTAACAGTATTATTTCATATCGTTTCATGGGATTTTCTTGAAACAAGCAGTATTCTGATATTGGTTTTTACTGCATTTTGTTAGTTTACCAAGATCATATATTTACTCTGTCCATATATATAGACATTGCATGTTATGTATGTATGTATGTATGTATATATATATATATATATATATATATATATATATATATATATATATATATATATATATATATATATATATATATACACATTACGTACATACATACATACATACATACATACATACACACACAATGTATTTTCCAGAATATAAGTCTCAAATGAGTATAAAGTTGCCTTATATTATAAAGAACTATTTGCAAATGCACTTCCTAGTCAGAAATTAGACTCTAAAATCTTTATTTAAAAGGAAAATTCCTGATGAGAAAGGTTTGATTTCCAAGTTTGACGAGCTATAAACTTTAATTCCCCTAATTCTACATCAAATCCTCTGTGTTACCCGGAAGTTACGACTGAATTTACTATTGTGACCTATTTCTGCCAGATTGACCTATTATCCATAGGTTATCATTAAAATAAAATAAAAACAAACTCAACATTTGCTTCGACTGATGTTTGGAAAACCATTTAACTAAAGAAATTGGAAAAAGGTGCAGTGGGTAGCGCTGTCGCCTTACAGCAAGAAGGGCACTGGTTCGAGCCTCTGCTGGGTCAGTTGTCATTTCTGTGTGGAGTTTGCATGTTCTCCCCATGTTTGTGTGGGTTTCCTCCAGGTGCTCTGGTTTTCCCCACAGTCCAGAGACATGCGGTACAGGTGAATTGAAGAAGCTAAATTGACCGTAGTGTCTGTGAGTGTGTGCAAGAGTGTGTGGATGTTTCCCAGTGATGCGTTGCAGCTGGAAGGGCATCCGCAGCGTGAAACATATGCTGGATAAGTTGGTGGTTCATTCTGCAGTGGTGACCCCAGCTTAGTGAAGGGACTAAGCCGAAGAAGCAAACAAATGAATGAATGAATGAAATTGAAAAAAAAAGTCCCCATGAAATCACAACTAACCATATGATTTTGTTAGCTCAGATTGCTAGGTGAACAAGTCATCTCATCTGTGCATGTCATTAAGAAAAATAAACAGTTTGCCTTTGTAATCTTCATGGGCGACACGGTGACGCAGTACGTAGCACATATGCTGGATAAGTTGGTGGTTCATTCCGCTGTGGCGACCCCAGATTAATTAAGGGACTAAGCCGGAAAATGAGGACTGAAGAAAATGAATGAATAAATGTAATCTTTAATTGAAATATTAAAAAAGGCCATTCCTGTTTTTATTTCAGTAAAATTGTCAGATTATGTACGTTTTAGGAATTGGGTGTGGTTAAAGCATTTAACCACGCCCCTTCAACTTTCAAAACAGAAATAGGGATGAGGAGGTGTCTGTTATGTTGTAATAACTCTCCCTAAACTATTTTCCCCATTTTTCTGAATGAAATGATTATAGCCAATCATCCAGTACATCCAATAAGCTTGCAGTAGAAAAAAGCCACGCCTATTTGGTCATTTGATATTCTGTTTTTCAAGGAACTGCATCACAATATGAAAAAAAAAACTGTTGCAGCTTCATGTGAACTTTAAAGTGCAAGTTAATGGGTTATGGTTGTTATGCTCAAGCTAGTTATCAAAGGATTTTTTATTGACTTGCACAGATGAATGCACACCACAAAACTACTAATGTTTGCTAACAAAGTAAATGTGGTCAGTTTTGATGTTGTGTACCTTAACAGTATTCACAAGAAACATCAACGTCATTTCTCACAGTATGCTCAATAGTGCAGCCATCAGATTTGAAACCGGGATATGATTTGAATCGGGATATGAATTGTGAACAGGTGAGAATCATTTCCATTACACTTAAGATTCCACATATCCTTCACAAGGAATACTTTCTTCAATTTCGCAAAAGCAACAATACTACACAATGGTTTTACCTAATATCCGTTAATAAATGTCATCATTTCCCAATTGATTTTCATGAACCTTTAGAAAAGGTTGCAAAAAGTTTTTTTTGCAAATCTGTGAGGAAATCAGGTTGATGTGTTGCCTGTGTTTTTATATGTATTGACTCAATAGTACAGATTTTTAAACTAAATTTTTTATGTCATGTTAGCTAATAGCTTTTTCTTATTAGTTTAGCATAATCATCTGCTTAAATACATTTCACATACAGATATTCATAGTTAGACACTGTCAGCTAGCTTGCTCTCTAGAGTTTACAGACCGGCTTTTACTGTTCCAATATGGCGGAGGGCTTTGTAAAGCTGCCACTACTGAAGCATAGACATATACAGTACCTACGCTCATACAGTATCAGTCCAAACGCAATTCATTTATGTGATGTTAACTGCCTTATTAAAGTCACTTTGAAGTATAAGTTGATGAACATATCATAACATAAACATGCTTTGTAGTCTGAAAATATGGGTTTTACTAAACCTGTTACACAGTTGAGTACTACCATTTTTAGATTTATTCACTCGGTCTGGGGGGAGCACTTTTACGTTAGCTTACCATGAATCATTCGGACAAATTAGACCATTAGCATCGCGCTCAAAAGTGACCAAAGAGTTTTGATAAGTTTCCTATTTAAAGCTACACTCTTCTGTAAAGTGTATGATGGAAAATGAAAAGTTGTTATTTTCTAGGTCAATATCTACACTGAACGTCCACTTCATTAGATGCACTCCGTGATGTGAATCACCTGTTCCACCACATTCCAAAAGTGCTCTATTGGATTGAGGTCTGGAGACTGTGGAGGTCATTTGAGTACAATGAAATCACTGTCTTGTGAAATAAAAGCAGTCTGAGATAATTCACTCTTTTCACACTGACATGGCGTGTTATCCTGCTGGAAGTAGCCATTAGAAAATGGGTACACTGTGGTCATAAAGGGATAAACATGGTCAGCAGCAATACTTTAAGTTGGCTGTGGCATTGACACGATACTCAATTGGTATTAATGGGCCCAAAGTGTGCCAAGAAAATATCCCCCACACCAATACACCACCACCAGCAGCCTGAACTGTTGATACAAGGCAGAATAGATCAATGCTTTCATGGTATAGATGCCAAATTCTGACCCTACCATCCAAAAGTCACGGCAGAAATCGAGACTCATCAGACCAGGCCACGTTTTTCCAATTTTCTATTGTCCAGGAGATCTGCAGTTTCTGAAATACTCAGACCAGCCTGTTTGGCACCAACAACCTTGCCATGTTCAAAGTCACTTAAATCCCAATTTTTTTTACCCCATTCTGATACTCGGTTTGATTTGCAGCAGATCGTCTTGACCATGTCTACATGCCTAAATGCATTGAGTTGTTGCCATGTGATTGACTGATTAGAAATTTGCATTAACAATAGGACAGGTGTGCCTAAAAAGTGGCCAGTGAGTGTGAATTTAATCTAATAGCTATTGACATCATGCTAAGTAACAGCACTGCATAAAATCATTGCACCTGCTTAAGCCATGCATGTGCTATAGTTCTTGGACTATAATTCCTAACCCGAACCCTTTTTCCGACCTACAAAATAGTAACCTTTAATTTGTCAAGTTTTAGTACACAATGTAACCTCAGAAGAGCTACTGGTCTAATCCAACTCAATGATTTATGTTAAGCTAAGTTAAAGTTCTCATGGCCAGACCTGGAGATCTTCTGAATGATTCAAAAATGGTAAATCTCATCTTTAACTCTAGGTGACTTGTAAAATGAGCTTATTTACCCCTAAAAAAAGTGGCGTTCCTTCAAACTAAACATTTTAACACAATCTTAACCTTCAGTTAAAATTGCACACCTAATCTGCAGTAAACATATTATTAGTGGCCCACTGAAATACATTTCAACACTTAGTGTGCCGACTTTAGGATTAGGAAAATATTGTGGTGTGAATAAAGTCTGCACTTTTTGTCATTGCACAACATTATTCTACTTTTAGCCTAATTATGTGTATGAAATAAAATTGCATTTAATTTTCCCCAACACTATCGCTTGCTGAAATCTCATGCCTCCTCAGCATTTGTGTAACTCTTTCTCCATGTTTCTTAGTCCTGTTGTGGTTATTCTTGTTTGACTTAGCACAGTTGTCTACAATGATAGCTCCGTTGTTTATCTCTGATGTTATTTTAGTTGAAGATGATAAGTGAGACCTGAAGACAACATTTTTATATAAATATATATATAAATATATATATAAATATAAATATATATAAATATAAATATAAATATATATATATATATATATATATATATATATATATATATATATATATATATATATATATATATATATATATATAGGTGAATGTATTTTTAACCTCTAGGAAGCTCTGGAGGCTCAACTGTTTGGTATCTGACTTCATTTGAACTTGTATAAATTTGATAGACAATGTCTGTGCCAAATGTCTGTGGTTGCATTTGCTATTAGAAATATTTGCACTTTAAAAAGGAAAATTTGTTATTATAATGACATAAATAAAGCTTCGGTGTAAAGATATTATGCATTAAAGAATGTTTTTTAAGATTGTACAAAACAGGGGGGGGGGGGGTCCATTTCAATAATTACACCACAACACAATCCAATTATTTTTGTATGGTACAAACATTTTAATGTACAATTAAATAATTGGCAAAAAATCTGACCACCATAATAACCTTATAAAAGAACAGCCAAACAAACAAACAAACAAACAAACAGTAAAACTACTGAAATCAGAGCAACAGGGTTTTTTTTTTTGTGGTTTTGTTTTTGCTCCTCTCAGCAAGCACCAAAGTGTTAGCAAGAGAAAAGTGGTCAAAACTAGGAACCATAAAACTGTATGGTTGATTTTTTTCCAGTTAGTTTTAGAAATGAAACTTAACAGATCAAAGCAAATTGCCATGGTTTATACAATGAATCATAATCTATATACTTCACTCATAAGACATTTCCTTAAAATGCCATGATGTTTTCAGATTTCCCCAAAGTGGGACGTATGGTATAAGAGTGTCATGTTGCATCATCAATACATCTTTGAAAAAAGTGTAAAATCAAACTTTATTATTCTCAAAAATAAAATTAAATATATCTATATATTTATATATAAAACAAATATTGTTCTCTTCATCTTTATAAAATAAGTCTAAAGCCATATTGCCTCTGTTGTGAAGTCATCCAGCACCTCTTTAACCAAGAAGAAATATTAATAATTATTATATAGGTTACTGTCATATGCCATCAGAAAGACCTTCCACGTTTTCTTTAATCTAAAACTCTTCTTTGCTGTATTTGTGCACACATAAATGACAGTCAGTGTTGGTTTAGTACACACTAATGAAGCACACATACAAAGGCGCATTGGTGCTCGTCTGATTTCCAAGCCATTTATGTATAAAAAAGAAAATCTCTCAGGTTAAATCTAAGCTGCCCATTATTCTTCAGCTCGAAGGATCTTACGTCAAGAGGAAACATCTGTCCACTTATCTCCATTCACATATGTGTATTTGTTTAACAAAGACATTTCATTTTCAGAAATTTATTTTCAGGTCAGAATTGTTCTTTATACATTAAGGTGATCAGTAAATCCCAAAGTTCAGAACTCTAGAGATGGATGTGAAGAATCAGAGCAACAATTCCTTACTGGAAAGACGTGAAGGAGGCGGCAGAGGGAAGTTCAAGATGAATATTTGCAAAATCCACAATCCCTCATCTTAGTAGAGATCACTGCGCTGTCCAACACACACACTTATACACACACCTGCAGAATCACCAGGTTCCATTAAGGAGAAGGAGGGCATGGTGAAAACATTCATGGGAAGGGTGGAAAAACTGCAACATGCATAGGAGGACAGATATTTCCCATGCAACAAGCCATCAGAAAATACATACTTTTCCCAAAACTTCACTTGAGCCCCATCAACCCCTCAAACAAATTGTAAAATGAACAGAAGATACAAAAAAAAGAATATAAATTCATCCGTTTAGTCATTCAATAACAAAAATATACTCTTCAAGAATTGTAGGAGGTTCAAATAGCAGATGCCATAAACTGTTCAAAATAAAAGAACAAGAAAATATCTATTAGCCAACCAAAAGAGCGGAGCAATAAATAACAGTTATTACCAATGCCATCAGAATCATTACATATGCGAGAATAAATCTAAGTCTTCAAACTGATGACATTCTAGACTGTTCTGTGAAAAAAAAAAACAGTCCATTTTGTTTTTGAATTTTGCTTTTTAATTTCATGCCATATTTAAAATCTTAAAAAATATCTATAAAAAAGGCAGACTTCTATGCCCCAAAAATATTTCTGGTCGTATCGCAAGGAGAAAGCAATTTCTCCATCCCTAAACCAAAAACCCTTTCAACACAATTGGCAAAAAATATATTTATATATATCTATATATTAACAACAATAACTTACCATTCATTTAACTTAATTTGTTGACTTGCACATGTAGTATCTCCCATAGGAAGTTCTTTTCAATTACATAAGAAAAATATTAAATAATAATAATAATACTATCGATGACAACCTTTTTAAATCCTAAATCTGCGACCAAAGCCTAACAACCAAGACATTTCTCTGAGCACTGCAACATTACATCAAATCCAACGAGTGATTAATGTTCGAGCCCATATCCTGGTTATTCGTCAGCATGTCATTTGTTCCCTGCCCATGTAAGGCTCCCATCCCGCTTAACTGTGAAAGCATAGCATTCTGGTCTGCTCCAAATGGGCCCTGGTCCATGGCGTTAACCTGTTGCTGCTGCTGGGATGCCTGTGCTTGTTGCTGTGGCGGTGGAGGAGCAGCCATGCCACTGTGGTGTTGAGGAAGGTGACCTGGGTGGGGCGACCCAGTCTGGGGTGAGATGTGATGGGGTGACGGCTGGGGCTGCAAGCGAGGAGATGGACTAGAGTTTGGTGGCTGGGACTGGGGACGAGGTGATGGTTGGGGAGAGCGAACTTGGTTGCCGAGAGAATTGGGCAACTGGCCCTGTAAATGGGGAGACTGGGACATCTGTTGCTGGGACTGCTGTGGACTCATAGGATTGTGTTGAGCAGGAGATCCTCCTCCGAGGTGTGACTGTTGCTGCTGTAGGAGCCGTTGCTGTATAGCTTGCTGAAACATTTGCGGCTGTGAGCCCATAGGAGCTGACTGCATCTGCTGCTGCTGCTGCTGGAGGGGACCACCACCTCCAGGTCCTCCATCAGCACCTTGATATCCTCCCATAGCACTCTGCTGCTGTTGCATTTGAAGTTGCTGTTGCTGTAACCTATGTTGCAAAGCTGCTGCAACCTGCTGATGGGACACAGACCCAGAGTAGTTTTGCTGGGTTCCAGGCTGGGCCCCTCCCTGTTGTTGCTGGAGACCACCTGGGTGAGGTTGGCCTGGCTGCTGAGGAGGAATTCCAGACTGGCCTAGATAACCCTGCTGCTGGGGTGGTTGAGGATGCTGGAATTGAGCATGGTTACCCATCTGTTGATGCTGCTGCTGCTGTTGTTGTTGTTGTTGTTGTTGTTGTTGTTGTTGTTGTTGTTGTTGTTGTTGTTGTTGTTGTTGCTGCTGCTGCTGCAAATGCCGTCTCATCATTTCCCTTAACTGGGGAGGGATATTAGAGATGTTCGTGCCTTGACTGGGCATAACACCTTGTTGCTGCTGCTGCTGTAATACTGCCATTTGCTGTTGCTGCTGCAAATTTCCACTCATCATAGGACGCTGTTGAATTTGCTGCTGCTGTTGTTGTTGTTGAAGTGGATTCATTTGCATGGTCGTTCCTTGTGTCATGTGCATACCACCCTGAGCTGCATTGGGATTTACATTCATTTGCTGGCCATCCATGATGCCTGGACCTCCACCAGGTCCACCTGGAACACCTGCACCTCCTGCTCCAGGACCACCTCGACCAAGGTACCTAGGAGCCCGTTGCCTTATAAAGGTTGCCATGAGTAGAGGGTTTGAACGTAGTATACTCAGGACTTGCTGCTGTTGATGGGGAGAGCTGGGTAATCTTAAGAACCTTAAAAGGTCTTGTAAGGCAGCCTGAGAGTGATTTCCAGGACCAGCGCCTGCAGGTGCAGCCCCTCCTTGGCTACTTATCATACCCATTACACCAGAGTTTCCTTGCGGCTGCGATTGACCAACAGCTTGCTGCTGCTGATGTTGTGGTGCAGCCATCCCTTGCAGACCCATTTGGTTCATTACCCCTGGTCTCTGTTGAGGAGGCATGCCAGGACCAGTCCACTGCTGTTGTGGTGACACCTGAAGTTGAGGTGCTCCTTGCTGGCCCTGCTGCAACTGGACTTGGGGAAGCTGAGACCGAGGTCCTGGCTGCTGCTGTTGCATGCCTGCTGTGACCATTCCCTGCTGTTGATCCATTTGAGTTCGAGCCACTGCTACTTGTGCCTGGGAAGGCCCAACCATTGCAGTGCCAGGAAGGTTTATGCCCATCTGGTTTTGAGTTTGCGGACCCTGATGTAAGCCATGGGGAGGCATCATGCCAGGAGCCTGGTTTCTTTGCAGGATCTTTTGCTGAGCCATCTGTCGTTGTGTCTCAGCGACTCGCTGAATTTTCATGGCAATTTCTACAGCTGCAGGTGGGGGGCCAGGTGGCTGATGTTGTGGCATCACAGGCTGCCCTAGGTTTGATTGTTGCTGTTGAGAGAAGCCACCTGGAACCATGCCTGGCTTTCCCATTGACTGAGAAAGTGGAGATGAGCCTGTAGGTCTTTGCACATATGGAGGAAGGTTGTTGGCATTCTGGAGATGCTGAGCTGGTGTTGGCTGTTGCTGCTGCTGTGGTAACATTGACTGCTGTGAGGAGTTAATCATCCCACCACTTCCAGATATTGGCTGGTACTGATGGGTCATCCCTGCCAACTGCTGTTGCTGCTGTGATGGAACATTGCCAACACCAGGTTGAGTTGCTGGAGGCTGACATTGCTGAGTGGGCGTCTGAGGGGTAGGTGGCTGAGTGCTCGGTGTTGGAGTGCTCGGACCAGTATTACAGCCGTTCCCAGGAGATGGCAGACCACAACCACCTCCTGGAAGCTGTTGGCCTGTCCTTTGCATACTGGCCATTCTTCTACGCACCATCTGGGCCTGCTGTAGCCTGTGCTGGAGTTGCTGTTGCCGCAGTTTCTGCTTGATGTTGAGGCAGAACGGCACAGGACATTTGTTCTCTTGGCAGTGTTTTGCATGGTAACAACAAAGCGCAATGAGCTGCTTGCAGATAGGACAACCACCATTGGTCTTGCGTTTGCAGCCTTTGGTATGCTGAACTACACGTTTCATTTTTTGGCAAGATGGAAGTGAGCAGTTGGCATTGCGACACTGGCAGGCATGCACCAGAGACTGGATGCACCGCTGAATGCTGAGACGCCGTGAGTCTCCTGGATTCTGTGTTGTGGAAGCAACCTGACTGTTGCTTTCGTCGTCCAACCCCAAGCCCAGTTTGTCCATCTTGTGCTCATGACCTTTTGTATTGTAGCAAGTGATGCAGAGATCATAGTCCTGTGAAAGAAAAGTTAGAGAAATCACTAAATGATCAAGTTATTATTGTGTACTAGACAATGTGTATCAATTACCATTATTAAACAGATCTGATCATTTCTATACAACTAGAGTGACCAGACTTCCAGATTTCCTAGGTATTAATTTTGACCAATACAGAACAATGCAAAAAAAAAACTCAATTTACTAGAGGAAAAGTGGAATATATTCTGGCATATTAGCTTTATATACTAATGAAGACATCATTAATCTTTAAAACTTTCAAACAACAAAAGGTCCTGTAAAGCCCTGCTACTATTTAGTTCTTACCTCGCACACAGTGCAATGGAAGCGAGTTTCAACATGGTGTTTGCACTCATTACAGGTATAGACAAAGCGGTCCTGGCTTTGGTTGTGCAGTTCTACCAGCATGCACATAGTGCTCCATTTGGAACGTCGCAATGAGGAAAACTCCAAGTGCTTGTCTCGTGCAATTGTTAGGAAGGCATCGCGACCATCCATCAAATCACAGGCCATCAAGGGATCCGGGTCAACAATGGGCAGAAGAGCATTAGAATTGGGTGCTGCAAACAGCCGGATAACAAAGAACACCTAGCGAAGATGAAAACAGGTTGGATTTAAAAACAAAATAATAAATTTTTCAAAGTAATATGTGATCACTACAAATAAATATGTCTATCACCAAACTCAACAAACACAGACGAGGCTTGACAAGTTGTTTCTTAGTGAAACATCACAGTACAGAGATCTCATACCTCTTTGTGCTTTTCCATCGTGGCATAGAGCTTCTGTGAAAGGTCATTAGACACATTTGGCATTCCAGGCTTCTTTTTGTTTCCTCGGCTTAAACTGCTCTTGTTCTTGCTCGTCTTCTTGTTGTTCTTTTTCTTGGCATTTTTGCTGTCACCTTTTGTTGTCTAAAGAAACAATGAGAAAGATTCACGGTTGTGTGTAAAATTGAGATAAGATAAAAGATAAGATAAAAGCTTAAAGACTAACCTCAACACTCTCATTGGATGTGCTGTTTTCCTCCCTCTTTCTTTCCTCTTCTTCTTGCTCCAATTCTTTAATGCTTTCTTCAAGAACATTAGGCCAGAAATCACCCTCAAAATAGGGCAGTTCTTTGGCACTAGTGAGACGATCTTCTGTTGCCTGTTTGAAGATGTCCTAAAAAATAATAAAACAAACTAATAAATAAACATTCCTTGATTTCTCATTTCGATGCTAATAAAATGTGTAATAATTTAAAACGTCTAAATTGTACCTTGTAATCATGCACAACACGCTCTGCGACAGCTTTGTCCAGCATCTTCTTATACCACTCTTGCAGTCGCTTGGGCTTGGGTATCTTCTGGTCTGCAGGATGACAATGGAAGATGTAATCATCTCCTTCGCTAGGAGGGCAGGCCCAGATGTGTCCTGTGGTAAACCTAAGAAAGAGCAAATAAACAAAAAAGGCTTAATCAAGAACTTCACAAGTCAATGTGAACTGAGCCTGGTAGTATCATCTTACCCTTGTCTTTTGGCATAATCAAGATATCCTATAAGGATTTCATGGTACACCTCTGTTCTTAAAAAGCGTGGCTGAAAGAAGTGGACACTGTCCAAATAGGATATGTAAACCCGTCTAAAGAGTGGAGAAAGGAACAATCATTTAGCAGGACATAAAAAAGGCTACAGATCAAATACATGTTAGGCAAAACATATGTCTAACCTTTGATTAGGTGGTGGACAGTCTGAGCCATACTCTTGCACATGCATCCCAAAGAAGCAAACATCAACACCATCAATCTCCTCAAACGCAAATAAAGCTTTCGATTTGTATGGGAAAGACTCTGACATTTCTCCACTATCCACAAACCTGTGAAATGGGAAAATAAAATCCAAGTATATTATAATTAACAAAACATTTTGAAGGAACCACTAAAATGTTTGAATGGATAAATATTAAATTCAAGTGATACTAATCTATCACTTCTCACCTAGACTTCATGCCTGGTTTGACTTCCACCATTTTTTCTGAGACATGAACAACACGAACAGTGACTTCACCAGATTCTGGATGATTTTGTCGCTTCAGATAGGCATTTACCCGCGTTTCCAAAAAATTGCCTAATTTGGTCTGTGGAAGCCCTGAAAGTCCACAAAAAATGTGGTTTAAATAACAAGGTTAACCAACCTAATCAAGATTTAAAATATTTTTTTTTATTGAACTGTAAAAATGGAACTACATACTTTTAGCAGCATATTTATTCTCTTTGCGGGTTTTGTTGGACTTCTTCAGACAACCATCACACACAAAGCTAAACAAGACAAAAAGGAAAATTCTGGAATTATATCAGTGTGTAATGCCTTTTATTTTGTAACTCCTTTCAAAAACCAAAGTTGACAAAAATCCAGGTTATTATAATTAACAAAAGCGAACAAAAAAAAGAAAAATAGAATTGAAAATACATTTTCGTTAACTGGAAAAAAAATAAAACTGAGTTTTTTTTTAACTAGAACCAACAAACTGTAGTGAGTATTTAAAAAACTAACTGAAACTAACAAAAATTACAATAACATCCTTTGTTATTGATTTTCTTAATGTATTTAATAATACGTGGGCCTTTTAGAAGTAAATCTATTTACTTCGCATTACCAATTTTGCTCCTACACCAGGTGTTTGACCCGTACAGCACCTCAGGGTCTGTAATACTGATGCTATTGGCCAGATCAAGCCGGCCCTCCTCCAGTCATGCTCGCTGTTGCTCCCATGACAATAACAACTGGACATGACAGTAACATGGTGACCATATTAAATACGACCCGAGCAGAGACTTAAATGCATTCAACACATTTGTGTCCACCAGTAAGGACTTTTATTTCTGTATTAGTGATTGAGAAACAAAGCATTCTTTTTCAGCAGATCTTCTAAGTGAACCGATTGAACTAGTTCACCAAATCAAACTAAATAATTTGAAACAATATACATCTCCAGTAAGCACTTATTCATAAACAACTTACTTTTTACATGCCTAATAACCCCCCTCTGACTCAAAATAAACCAATTTTCTAGGAAAATTTGAACAGTAAACTGAGATTGGATTTGAGAACGGGTGAACTCATAATAATGCATAATACTGCATAACTGCAGCACGGCTTCATTGAGAGGAAAGTCATAATGGAATTTAAATAAGTGAATCATGCTTTAGTTGGGTTGCAAAACTTAACTGTAAGAAACTTGTCAGATCATAATGTTTGAACTGCCTAAAATTGATTGCTGACTATATATTTGATATGTTAAATCCAAACATGGTAGGATTGTCTCAAAAGATCCGGTTTGTGTTAAAGATCTGAACTTTCCATAACTACCATTTATCTAACCTAAGAAGCAGCCTTGCAGACATATTGTATTTAGGGCTGCCATCCTGTGGGCTGTCGTATTTGAATTTGAAGATGGGTAAATGGAAGTGTTCATGTGTCATCTGAATACACGTTTCAAAAATGTATGTTTGGTTGAGTTTTTATTATACAATATTTATTCTGATGATTTTGAATTGTGCACCTAACAAATATTGTAATTTACAAAAAAGCAAACAAACAAAAAACTAAAAGTTAAAAAAAACTAAAAAACTAAAACATTGAAACTAATTAAAAATTAACTAAAACTAAGCAAATTCAAAATATAAAAACAAGTAAATCTAGCCACCTCTGAAAAATAATTAAAACTAACTGAATTTAAAAACAAAAAAAAGTTAAAACAAAATAAAAACCAAAACTAATAAAAAATCCAAAACTATTATAACCTTGATATGAATCTATTTAAATGCAGGTAGCTTACCCTGATGGCCATATAGTTTCATTGTGCAAAACGCAGATCTGATGCATCTTACGGCCACAATCCATACATTCCACAAATCTACAAAGAAAACAAAAAGGAAAAAAGCAAAAAAAAAAAAAGCATAAATACTGAGAATTTTGCAAAATGCACAAAACTGGAATAAGTTCCGTAAACTTACAGCTCAGGGTCAAGTGTGTCATTTTTCTTCTTTTCAAACTGATCTTTGTTGATTGATCTAGAAATATTCAGGAAAATTGTAGCTCTATTAAAACAAGAAAAGACCATGCAACATGGAAAGGCTCAAAGGGTGCACATATTGTCTTCACAAATCCTGCTTCAAATTTTCAAACAGTAATCCAAGTGAATTGTGTATTTATATATATTAGGCATGGGATAATAACCGGTTTTAAGGTTTATACTGCACTTTGGAAAAGTCATTGTTTTAAAATTGCAAACAATTCATGTCATACCGTTCCTAAGGTATATGTAAAGTTTTTTTTGTAAAGGTGTTTTTGTGTTGTGAAGAAACCTGTGTTTTTTAAAACTAAACCTAGCAGAAGTCAATGATTTATTATTTAATTATTTAGCCTGACATGTTTACTGTTCCAAAATATTATAAATGTGAAAAAAGTCAAATGAAATACTGTATATTGTGTTCAATGAGGGGAAAATGTGTTGTTTTTTAATAGGGCATCTAAAAAGAAAACTTATTTTAGGGTGCTTTTACACCTACACTTTTGTTTCGAAACGATTGTCTCGATTGCCCAGTTAGCGCGGTTAGTTTAGCATATGTGAACAGGGCAATCGCGCTCTGTTCCACGCCAAAGTAATCTCTCCGAGATCGCTTGAATGAGGTGGTCTTGGCTCGATTGAAACAAACCCTGGAGCGGTTCGATTGCAGTGAAAAAGCGATCCGATCCGAGCGTGGTTATATCACAGCGTTCTATGGATATGTAATAGGCATACGGCTATATGAAGAGAGAATTATGAGCATGGCGGGAAGTTTCGCGAGTCTCCGGATGCCCGCAAACGAGTGATGATCTCCTGGTAATCTCGCGTCTCCCTCCAGTCCTCAAATAGGCTACGTCGCGCACCCTTCTCACCCCTCCCCACCGAATCTCTCCTCAGACACATCGTGCGCGCACCCTGTCAATCACCATCAAGCCACCACCTCTCCTGACAGCTTAGCGGGACGCTGCAAAATAAACCCTGACACTCTGACCAATGTGAGGAGAGTTTACTCGCACGTGACTTGTTTTAGCTCTTTTGGTCTGATTAGAAACTTTGCAATGTGAAAGCGAACCGCTCCAAGAGCAAAGAGCAACAATGTAACAATTGTAATCTCTGTTTCGGAACAAAAAGGTGTGAAAGCACCCTTAGAGCAGTAATCAAAATACTGTGAAACAGTGATGTTTTTATCCAGCTATCATACCTTCACAAACTTATACCAGCCCATGCCTAATATAGGGGGTTTGACAATACAGAATGATATTGCTCTAGTGTCTGCATTAAAGCAGATTAAATTAGTGTGTAAGAAGAGTCAACTTACGTTTGAGGTTGGGATGGATCGTCTCCCAAGGACACGGTTTCACCCTGGATCTCATTGAAACACTTCTCGCAGAAGTGGTACCTGTCAGCAAGAAGCCCATATTTTGGTGAACTACACCATGTGCCAACATCACAGCCAATCACAGCAAGGCAACGAGGAGGTAGCCACCAATCAGTGCAGGACAAGGCAGGGCAGGCAGGCCAAAGGGAAGCGCAGGACAGGGTCATCGCCAGAAGAGCCAATCATGATGCAGGATTTGAGCAGGGAGGGGTTTAGGTGCAGATGATTGGTCAGATGAAAGCAGGCGATAGCAGACATGACAAACGTCAAAGTACAGGAAAGAAGAAAAGGGTCGACAAAAAAAAACATTAGACAAGACAGAAATGGATGGATACGGAGGGAGACAACAGAGACAAGCAGAAAGCCAAAGCAAAGCACAGATTAGCATTTACATCTATAATGAGAAAAACCATTTCAGCAAAAAAAGGAGCAGAATCAATTGTGAAAGGTGTTGAGACTTAAGGACACGTGAGCACATTAAACAAACAAACTCACTGCAGCCAAAAAGTCAAGCAAACAGGCATTTTAAAGATGTCCTTTGAAGATTTCTATTAATGCCAGAGTCGAATCATACATTACATTACACTACAGAAAAAATTAATAAAATGGATCATATGATTTTACAGATACAATATTTCGAATCATTTTGAAAACCATAAATTTGACTAAACACATCTAGGCATACAAGCTCAAACAGCCCGTATGAAAAAAAAAAAAAAGACTAATTTTGTTTCAAGAAACCTGGTTTACAACTGACTTGGTAAATGTATGATTCTATTAGATTGTTTTAATGATTATATGTAAGAGAAAAGGAGTATGCTTTAAAATGCCAGGTCTTTTCACACAGGTTGAGATTTACAATGGACTATGAACTGATTGGTGGAAAATGTAAAATAATAAAGACAGGCTAATCAACCAAAATGCAATTATTAGTGGTTTAACGGATCACAAATATTACGGTTCAGATCACATAATGTTTTTTTTTTTTTTCTGATAAGACAAAAAGAGGAGAGAAATGTAATTTGCTTTCCGCTTATTACGAAAACAGTAGTGCAAGACACTTTTGATTTTAACAAACAGAACTTAGAACCTGTAATTTTATTACAAATAAAATGAAGAAATAATTAGCTGAATAAAAATAATGGATTTTTTACAGTATTGAATATTTTACAGTTAAAACTACAGTTGCTTTACAGTTACAACTACTGTTGCCTAAGACGCTAAATGTCAAAATTTAACATTAGAATTTGTACAACCCATATAAATGTTAGTCTTATTTCCAATAAATGACTCAGTTAATTACTCATGAAATGTCATGTTTCATTGCAAGATGTCAATTTTTTTATTCAGAGGAATAATTTTGATAGCTGGTTGATTAAACAATGTAATTGCTGCCTACAACTTTCAATTCTGAGCATATGACGGTCATTTTAATCTTTACCATGATCATCAGTGGTTTTATCCAAACTATAAACTGTTATCCCAGCACTTCAATGTTATTTGACTAACTTTATAACGAACTCAAAAGACTAATGACTAATGCGTTTTCAGATTTGAATGCAGTGATTTAAGAATTTAATAAACATGCACATCACCACCATTTATAATTTATGTTGCGTGGCTGTTGAGATACCGATCTTCTAATGATTAATCATGCAGCTTACATCGAATGCATTGATGCAGGCTAAACAATTAGTGACACCTTTAAACACCTTTAAATGAAACCCATCACATACCGAAAAACCTACCACAACTTCTTCCGTTATCATTATATCTTACAGGAAAGCCTAAATGCTTTTATACATGTTATTGGAATCATGCGAGAGGCAATCTCTCTGTGATTGTTACAAATTTAGGATTAATCTACCAGTAAAAAAAAATTATTGATCTGCAGGCCATGTGTGTTCGTGGGCTGTGATCCATAAGAATCACGGATCAACCGTGATCAGTTACACCCCTAACAATTATCAATTCACTCTATATAGTTAAGAACTAACTAGAGGGGAAAACTGCTGTTTAAAAAATGTTGCATGCATTTGAAAGAAATAATCAAAATGCAGGTCATTTCAGATAAATATTTGCTTATTTGTCTGCTGAAACTCCCCTCAGTCATAAGTTTCTTACCTGTTCTGATAACTAAAGTAAGCAGCATCTCGTGGTATAGTGCATAACTGTTTCCCATAGCAGCACAGAGTTTGGGGAGAAAATTCAAGCTGTAAAGAAACAAACAAAAAAAACTTAGCCAATGTTATTTTGGCAAAAACATACCTATATATAAAATATCAGATCAATTTTAGGTCCCTTTCAGATCAACATGTACTTGAATCTGCACTAATACTAAAAACCCCATTATGATCACCCTCTGCCAGCTCAACACCTACTCTCTAATGATCATTACAGAATCAGCCCCAAACTCTCATTTATTCTGTCCACAAAAAAAAGAAAATATCGATTTGTAAAATAGGCAGTATCTTATAAAACTAATTTAATTTGTACAAACAGTCCTGTGTTCTCAACTGTACCTTTCTCCCACAACAGTAGCCAAGGCTCTGCATGACTGGGTCAATTTCTTGCTCAAAGACCTCCGCCAGTTTGGAGCAGTACTTGTAGACCCGTGATGTCTTACGATTGTACAGCCAGGCGTTGTTGAACATAAGCCAGATGTCATCTACATACTGCCATGGCTCCTGGTACTGGCCTGTGTCAAGCTTTCGTTTGATAGTAGACAAGTCCATTGGATTTTTCACAATGTCAAAATAGTCCTGAAATTGGTAAAAATTACAATCATCATGAACAGTAGAAACTTCCGTTTACATAAATGAGATATTTAGCGTATTAGTTCCCCAAATTATGCAATTTTAACAATTTTATCAATTTTTAACTCCTACACAATAGGTATACATTTAATCAAATGTTCATTTTCATAAAAAGTGTAGTATTCGTAAAATTGAATGAATTGTCAACCGTGATAGATTTTTACTCTATGTATACAGAGACATGTGAATAAATGAGCATGGTTAATTGACCCTGAGAAAGATGCTGGTAATAAGACTGAGATAACCAGAGCTCTATCAATAGAGGAAGACCACTAGAGACCATTATTGCATGGTAGAAGGAGTTGCATGTAACCTCTCGTCTCACAAAATCATGAACAGTTTTTTTTTTTAATTATTCTCATTCGGAGATATCACAGACATCTAAAAGAAGCACCCCACAAAATGCTGCAAAACTGGTGGAATAACATCTAGCAGCTATGGGCTAGATGAAAGCTATGCTTGAAGAAGAGGGTCCACCACCCAGAAAGTCTTTGGACGGCATAACAATGTCTGAACAACTGGACTGAACACAATATACTTCTTTGATCGCATTCAGAACCAATTTCTTGTCTGGAATGCCTCTCCAATGATGTAATGGAGATCAAAAACTGGCCCATCACAGACTTTGAGGGGATGACAATTGAGAAGATGCAGGGCAGACTGGACATCTGAATTGAAAACAAGGCCTCAACCTTGAAGTAAATACTAGCTGAGACTCTTTGTGAGGCTGCCCTTTACTATGCTGCAGCAAAGTTAAGTGATTTGAGAATTAATTGTTGCATAGCTTAGTGCAGGGCAATTAGCAATCAATAGCCTGGAAACGAGATTAGGCTGCTCTTACCCTATGCTCAAGTGCCTTATGAGCAGTAGGTCTGAAGACCCGACTAGGCACTAATGGCAATTGTGAGAGGTTGTTGTGACACCTCAAGTATTCCGGACTGAGAGGGCCACACTTCTAGCTTTTATGATAAGTCCAAGAGCTTTACCACTAAACAAAGCAATCAATCCCAAAGCGATCGCAATCGACTGTTTGGCGACCACTCCTTTAGGGTATATTATACTACACCATACTTTACTGCAGTAAAAACTAAAGTTGTAGAAACTACAACAGATTAATTCAGGTATTTTTGAAGTATAATTCAAGTACTTTATGGTATTGTTTATAATCACCTTGCTATTTTTTGTTGTTTGAAGATTATATTGTGTTAATTGAAGTGGGTGTGATATTTCTGATGGTAGACATTCCATTACATTTAAAACCCACATGTTTATGAATGAATACGGTTCAAGTGTGAATATGGTTCCTTTGATTGGTCATTAACAATCGGTAAATGAAAATTTATAAGACAAATTATTTACAGGACCAAAATTATGGACAATAATCAGTTCTGTTCTGAATCAGATATCTGTTTTGGGAGACCATATCATGACCTTGGGTCTTTGCAAAAAGTCTGCAAAGTTTCAAAGACAAGCAGACAGCATACGTACTGGTATTCCCAACAGTGAAGGGTCTACAGGCTGGCGGAAGGGCAGAGACTCAGGGTCCTGGCGGTAAAGAGACTCCAGTGTAGGCATCAGGGCCTGCCTCAGTTCCTCTGGTTTAAAAACTGACAAAGCAAAACAGAAAAGTATTATTTCATATCATTGAAATCTTAGCAACAGTTTATTTATGTTATTCAGAATTGTCCAGTTATGTTAAAGAACAGATATCAAATGGATAAAATCACATCAAAGGGTCATGAAACACTAAATTACATTTTCTCAGGTAAAACTATGTGTTATAGAAGACAACGTTCGAATATTTTACTTTTCAATAATTACTGAGGATTTTGTGCCATTTTCTTCCCAGTTTTATACAGATGATAATTTATGGTGCATCTGTCTCAGAAATATTCAGGAGATAGCACATCCTTATGATGTTGTGAAGATATAAGTAAATCATCTTCTCATATAATGTGTTGATTTCATATGACACACTTTAAACTGTCAGACTATGTAGAGTGAGAGATACGTTCATAGAGTAAAGGAGGGTGTCTGTTTTGGAGCTGAGTTTCTGCATAAATTGTCATCTGTACAGCTTTATCAATATTCCGGTTAACTTTTCATTTGTTTTAAAATTAAAACCTTTTTAGCTTAACAACATAAAAATAACACATAAATAAGCCGCAACAATGCATTCATGCATTTTGACATGGAGTACAATTGCAAGCATTTGTGCATTTATGTGCATTTGTGTAGAGATCTTAGAAAGCCACATAGAGTGTGCATTCATATCGTTGCATGTAATCAATTTTAGAGTTCATTTGGGGTGAAGCCTTGTTGCTTTTAACTTAAAGGGAGCAAACAAAACTGACTCGAAAGACAATGTTGTGACTGTCTCCACTCTGCTCCACATGATATCTTTGATACCATTGTTTACAACATTGTCAAAATTGTTGAGAACTAACCATTACCTGACCAGAGGGTTCTATAACCCTTAAAATTGCATTTTAGAAGGTTGAATCATTACTCATGGCAGAAATTAATGCAAATGTCTACAGCATCAAATTCGAAATGCATCAGCAAGTCATATTTATTGATGTGCGTCATTAATCAAGATCTCCAAAAATCATGGTGTATTTCTTTCTTCTGTTGAACACAAAACAAGATGATCTAAAGAACGTTGGGGAAAAAGAAAAGGCAGCTTCTGACATCCATAATAAGAAAAAAACAAACAAAAACTATGGAAGTTGATATCTGTTTTTCCCCAAATTCTTCAGTATATGTTCTTGTATTCAAGAGAAAAAAGAAACTTTTTTGGTTTGGAACAAGTAGAGGATTTTCATTTATAGATACAATATGCCTTGTTGCAAATATGTTGCATGGCTGATCAGTTGTTAATAATTGTATTTTAATAGCATCATTATCAGTGTACCATCAGTTAAATATGCTCAAATGGGGTCTGATCATACTTTTCTTTTTGTTAGTGGCTCCAGAAACAGAACTCTGGCTAGTTGCGGACTCTGAACCCTCTTCCTCTTCTTTAGGCTCAATCTTTATCTCAGGTTTTTTGTCCTCATCAGATGCAGTCTCCATCGGCCCACCATCACTCAATGGCTCCTCTTTCTTTACCTGATTAACAACATAAAAGCCATCAATCAATCAGAAATTATATTAAATGACAATCACTAATAACTGATTTGGAAATAAAACTGAACCATTTTCTGGAAATGTCGTACCTCTGGCTTTTCCTCAGTTTTACTGTCTTCCTCCTTAGCAGTTCTTTCTTCCTCCATGGCTTCTTCCTCCTCCTCATCTTTCGCCTTGACCTCCACCTTTGGCTCCAGGGTGGCTGTGGAGTCTGAAGGAGCTTGCTGAAATGATGCCTCTACACTGCTGACGGAGGCAGGAGTAGCGGCCTGGCCATCAACTGGTAGAGAACCTTTATGAGACAACTTAAGAGAGAGGGCAAAAAAGGTAAAAGATACAATCTAAAAATAATTGTTGAATGTTTAATTAACAATGAAATTTAATTTAAATATATTAATACGTGTAATCCGAATTAACAAGAACAAAATTGACAAATGCTTAAGATTGTTTTCTCAGACTGCTGTTTGCATAACATTCAGTATTGTTCAAAATAATAGCAGTAAAACATGACTGACCAGAATAATCCAGGTTTTTTTATTGATACATGGCAAAAATGTTACCAGTAGTTGCAGTAGATCATCAGAAAACAATAAAGACTCAGCATTCATGATATGCAAGCTCTTAAGGCTGTTAGTTAAAAGGGGTGTGTTAAAAAAATAGACACCTTACAGTTGTTATTCCACACCATGATTTTAACAACGTTCAACAATTCATTTAAATTTCTTGGTTTTGCTTTAGAGACAGCATTTTTGATGTCACCCCACAAGTTCTCAATTGGATTAGGATCTGGGGATTGGTCTGGCCACTCCATAGCATTAATTGTGTTGGTTTGGAACCAAGACTTTGCTCGTTTACTACTGTGTTTGGGGTCATTGTCTTGTCGAAAACCATTTCAATGGCATGTCCTCTTCAGCATAAAGCTGCGGTCACACTGGGCTTTTCCATCCATAGACTTCCATTTATACGCACGCGAATGCGTCAGACCGGAAATGCAGGGTCATGCGTCAAGTTTTGCAGGTTGCTGCGGTGCAAAGTTCAAGCTTGGTAAACTCTGACCTGCAAAATCGCATCACTTGACTGCGTGAGACCAACCGAGGATCAAAACATGACCTCTCAGGAAAGAAATTTAAAACATGGAGCAATCGCTTGCTTTTTTAATGCCTAATAATCTTGTTTATTCCCACCCCTTTTCGCAGCACCACACGACAGAATTTCGCATGCTCAAACTCTAGTGTGTCCGCAGCTTTAGGCCAGGTGATCTTTTCAAGTATTTTGACATATGTAAACTGATCCATGATACCTGGTATGCAATAAATAGGCCCAACAGTATAATAGGAGAAACATGCCCATCTCAGGATGCTTGCACACCACCATGCTTCACTGTCTTCACGGTGTACTGTGGCTTAAATTTAGATTTTGGGGGTTGTCTCACAAACTATCTGTGGGCCTTGGACCCAAAAAGGACCTCTTATTTTTCCTGTATTTTGTTGCACATCTTTATAAATATGCTCCAGGAAGCTCAGTGTATAAGCAAAAATACTCACTGGAGTGCGGGGATGCTGGCTGGCATTTGGTGTGGAGAGACCACTGTGAGACACCGCTGGAGGAGTTCCTAATGGCTGCATGCCGCTGTCAGAGCTGGCGGACGGAGGAAACTGTTGCTGACTGCCATTTGAGGATAAATGGGGTAAGCTGGGTGTGTGGGGCTGAGGCGTTTGGGAGCCTGGCGTGGGTGTGGGCGTCCGGCTATGAGCTGGTGAAGGTGAATTCTGGTGTACAGGTGGGCAGTGACTGAGGCTGATGGAGTGGGTGGGGGTGGATGATGGAGGAACAGCACTCATGCTGCTGGGACCCAAGGAGCCCACAGATGACCCGCTGCCTGCCCCGCCAGCAGACCCAGGTTGGGCTAAAGGACTCCCGACTGGTAAAGATGATAACGGCATTTGTCCCTGCTGACATTTTAATAACAGAATGAACATTGAGGATTAAGTTCTGATGAAAGGTCATTTAAAATGCACTGTGTTTATTAACAATGTATGCAAACATGGTGTAGAAGTAGTAGTGTGTATTTAGTGAAATATAAAAATATTTAATTAAATGGTAAACAAAAGGACATTAATATTACAAGGGCTGCATTTTGCAAAAAGTGTATAGACATGTATAAGCCACAGTGTATATAAAATTTCCTAATATAATTCAGAAACAACAATATACAACTTACAAAAAAATTTGCTCAACTTCATACCACAATGATCCTTTACAACATTAAAGTAATCAGAAAGAAAGAAAATGAAAATTTTAAGTAGAAAACGCTAACTTGTGGCATTGACTAGAAGCAATTTCCAAAAATGTTTAACCTAATATCAAAAATTTTCTAAAACTTACTTGGGTGAGAAAAAAAAAATGTATGTTTCAAATGATACAAACATTGACATTTTAATGTAGTACAACTCCATACGCTCTTACTTGAGTGGCAGCACCATCGTTTCCTCCGTGTACTAGGTCAACAGGACCAGCACTACGAACAGGACTTGAAGCTTGAAACGGTCCAGTTTGCATGTATTGATTTTGCATCTGTGCAACATTCGGCTGTGGCATCCTCCCAGGCACCATGCTTCCCTAAAACAGTCAAAGTATTTGGAATTTAAATATTTTGTGCTTTAACTCCCATGAAATGCAACAATGACAGTAAAGACAATCACAGTAAAGACCTGGTTAAGAGGTGGTGTTGATCTCTGGCCCATGGACTGCATTCCCATATGATTCCCAAATGAATTCATCCCTGCAATGTAAAGAACAGTTAATAATTTAAGAATAATTAAGCCATTAATTAAAAAATCTTAATCTTGCTGAAAAAAAAATTAAAGAAAAAAAGAATGCTGCTTTAACTTATACTATAACAAAAAATGATATTTAATTTAGAATATATTAATTAAAAAATAAAACTACGCACAGACACATGCAAAAATAAATAAGTCCAAAATACAATACATACAAAAATAGTCCAAAAACAAACCAGCCCAAAAGAGTTTTAACTGAATTCTAAATTTTCCCTTAAATGACTTAAGACTTAAGGGGAAAAATTAGTTTTTTTTAAAAAACATTCAAAAAAGACTTGAGTATGGATTAATGGTTCTTATTGTAAAAAAAAAATAAACAAACAAACCAGCAGTATTCTGCATTCTGTTCATCATCTGGTTTGGGCCAGTTGGACGCACTACTGATGGATCTGATAGTGGGCCATCTACAAGGGAGCAAAACAAGACATAAACAAGCAAACCCAATGAAACTGCTTGATACATTTTCAGTCTCATCATGTTCTTGTTATTATGACCCAGTGAAATGTTTTTAATTTAAAAAACAACACCTATTCCAAATTGGGTGAACTCTTCCTTTAAAAGTAGCTAAAAGGTGTAGATGCTTCAAACAAACAATGCAAGCTTGAAAAGGCTGAGTGATGGTATACCGTATTAAACCCTAACACATACCCTTGTTGCAGTAGACAAGGCTGTACATGTGTCATGCTGCTTGTATGTACCCCTAAACTCAACAAAGTTGGCACCTGAGAGAGAACAATTAAAAAAATTATCTAGCAAACGGCTTTCTCCAGAAGCACCACCACAGAGTCACATCTTTACATCATTTCCACTTGTCATAGAGACACCGAATGGTGCCACCAGTGTGTACAACCTGATGGAAAAGACGTGGCATGATAAAGTGGGCTTCTCAACTGGTTTGTGACCCTCTCAGAATATCCCCAAACACTCTTTGTACGAACACTCTTCACTCCCTCCTCAAAAAAACCCATCCCTTACTCTAGCACCTAGTTCTCTGAGCAGTAACAGTTCCTTTGTATAAATAGGACTTCCTGTGTGAACTGCCTCTTCGTGCTGAATTC